ATACTAATGGCTCTGGCAGCGCTGGAGAGAGCCTCCAACCCCCCCTGCACTGCCACCACCACCAGGGACCCCGGGAGGTGTCACCAGGGGCACCACGGGGGCCGTGCCCGGCCGTGGCGGTGGCTCCGTGCCCTCGGGGACACGAGGGCCATGGGATCCTCCTGGTGGCTTTACCAGCACCCCCTGACAAATTGATGCTTCCCGAGCTCATCTGGCACCTGACAAGCCAGGAATGGGCTGTAGCCAAGGGGTGGCTGCGTGGGCAGGGATTCACCTGTCCCCAGGGCCACCACATCCCTGTCACCCCTGGGATGGCCATGAAGGATCCCTTGGGGCCACCTCTCCTTGTGCCACCTGATGCTGTGACCCCCCCGGGGTGCTGGGGGTCACTCTGGTCCCCATGGGTGCTGTTTTTGGGGGGCTGTGGGTGATGCTCCCCCCTCCCCAGCCCCCCCAGCTGCGGCGGCGCCGAGGACCCGCGCGGCGAATATGTTCCACAAATGAATAATAAAAACAAAGGAAAATTACCCTCTTATTGAAACCCGTTTTATGAATAAAACAATTATTCTGGTAATTGAAAAAATGTGTCGTTAAATTAAATGCAGTGGTTCCTATTAAAATTTTAGTGGATTTCTTCTTCTCCTCTGTTTCTTTTTCCCCCCTTTTTTCCTTGCCTCCCTCCCTCCTGCCTCCGCTGGCGGCTAAAGGCTGGTAATTATAGCGGAGGGTTTCGCTTTCTCTTTATTGTTTTTTAATCTCTTCGTGCTGCGGAGCCAGCGAGAGCCTGATGCCGAGGAGATTTAGCTCCATCTCCCCGTGCTGGGGGGGCTGTGGTGGGAGCTGCTTGGTGGCAGTGCCAGGTGGCTGTGCCACCACTCCTGGAGGGGTTGGCACCTTCCTTACTGGGCTGGCACCTTCTTTATGGGTGGTGGTGCCCCGGGAAGGTTGGGGGGCCCTGGGAAGCTCCATCTCCCCGTGCTGGGGGGCCATGGTGGGAGCTGCTTGGTGGCAGTGCCACCACTCATGGCACCTTCTTTACTGGGCTGGCATCCTCCTTTCCAGGCTGGCATCCTCATTTTTGGGTAGTGGTGCACTGGGAAGGATGGGGGGCTCTGGGAAGCTCCATCTCCCTGTGCTGGGGGGGTTCTGTGGTGGGAGATGCTTGGTGCCAGTGCCAGGTGGCTGTGCCACCACTCCTGGAGGGGTTGGCACCTTCTTTACTGGGCTGGCATCCTCCCTTCCAGGCTGGCATCCTCCTTTTTGGGTGGTGATTGTTCCCAGGAAGGATGGGGGCCCTGGGAAGCTGTGGGGGCAGCAGGGACATGGCTCTGTCCCCTCTCTGTGCCCCAGGCAGGGTGTGGGCAGTGCAGGGGACACTTCCAGGGCTGCATCCTGGTGGGACCAAAGAAGGGTTGTTGGGAAGGAGGAGGAGGATGGAGCTGTTTTCCCTGAGGCAGGTGCTGGTGCCTGGTGTTGGCTGGGCTCTGCTGGGTACCTGGAGCCTGCAGGTGAAGCTGGGCTGGCTCCAGGACATCCCCCAGGTCCTGCTGGGCTTCAGCTCCGTTGGGATTCCTGGGTCGTGGTGATCAGCAGGAGCGGGCCGGTCACCTCGCCGTGGGTGGGACTGGATGTCACCCCAAGGGGGGCTGGCACAGACATGGGGACTGTGCTGTCCCCTGCGTGGTGGCGCCAGGCAGGAGGGGACCCGCCTGTCCCACAGGCTTGGGGGGTGGCCAGGGGCGCCTGAGGGATTGGATCTCCTGCCCCCATCTCCTGGCCCTGAGAGGGACGGGAACAGGAGGGGGCTGCACCCCCCGTCCCCACCACCCCCTGCAGCAGCTGCCGGGCAGAGCTGAGCCCTTGGCAGCCCCTCCGGGACCCCTCCCGGCTGAAAGCTCCCTGTCCCTTCCCATCAGGAGGGATTTGGAGGCCGAGAGAGGGGAGCTTAGTGCCCGGCTTGCCCATTAGGGCCGGGAATTAGGATCCATTACGGCTCTTAGGGAGCCCTGCCCTACATCCCGGCTCCAAACCCCCCGGCCCTGATGTAACTAAAGCGCGGGGGCCAAGGCTGCGATCCCATTAGGCAGGATTAGTGCCGTGCCAGGGCCTGGCATTAAAGGCCTGGCATTAAATTGTCATCGGCAGGGGAGGGAGAGAGCCGGGCCTGTCCCTGTCCCTGTCCCTATCCCTGTCCCTGTCCCTGTCCTTGTCCCTATCCCTCTCCCCCTTCCCTTTGCCAGCCCAACCCCGAGGGCAGGATGGGGACAGAGGGGTTTGGTGGCGCCTTTCTTTGCGGAGGGGACACTGCTGGGGTGGCAGGGGCTGGCAGGGGCTGGCACAGGAGCAGCGCAGTGTCCCGTGCCGCCGGCAGATGTGCAGATGTTGCCGGAGACGCCCCTCGCTGCCGCCTGTGTTTGGAAAGTGATGAATTTCTGCACCAACTAATTAGCCTCTAATTAGCAAGCGGAGTGTAAACAGTCACAACAGATGGGGGAGAGGCGGAATGAGCAGTAATGACCCTTCCGTGTTGGGGGGGACGTGGCTGTCATCCACCGCCAACCCTCCCCCAGGGCCAGGGCAATGGCAGCCCCGGTCCGTGCCAGCTCCGTGGGGACACGGTGAGAGCTCCATGAGCCTGGATTTGGTGGTGCCAGGGCCTGCCAGGGGTGGTGGGAGAGTGCAGCTGTCCCCAGGGAGCAGAGCTGGGACAGCTGGTGCAGCTGGAGAGGGAAACTGAGGCTGGGGGGCTGCAGAAGGGGCTGGTGATGAGGGGAACGGCCCTGCTCAGCACTGGGGCTCCCCACTCTTGTCCCCTCCAAGAGCTGGTGTGGCACCCCCTGGGGACACCAGGAACACCTGGTCTTGTCCCTGGAGACCTGGAATTAAGGAGCCACCTTCCTCTCCCTGGATCCCTCTTCTCCTCCAGCCACCCCTGGCACTGGGTTGGGCTCCCTGGAGGGGCTCCCAGGAGGATGAGGAGGATGAGGAGGATGAGGAAGATTCCACCCGAGCTCCGTGCCACCTTCACCCCTCACAGGGGACCCTCAGGACTCCCTCCCCACTGTTCCCTGCCGTGGCTGGGCTGGGTTTGCCTTTCTGGGGGCACGGCCAGGGCCGGGGCCGGGGCGGCCGCTCCGCTGTGCCCTTGGCAGGCGGATCAGCACGGAACGATCCCATCCGTGCGGAATTAGGAGCCGCCTCTCCTCCTCTGCGCCGTTTTTCACCCCTTAATGCAGAACAGATGGCTCGGGCGCTTCAAAGCGTGATGAGCCTTAGCTGCTTAAAATCAAATTAGGATGGATGCAAGCGGCGGGCGGGCCCAGGGGAAGGTGCACCAGCAGCACCCTGATCCCAAACGCTTCCCAAGTGCCTCCAGGACACCTCCCAGGGGCCTCCCAGGCGCTGGGTGCAGGGGGTGCACTGGGCACACCAAGTCTCAGTCCCACTGTGCCCTTGGAACGCTCAGCTGGGCACTGGCAGCACAGCCTGGTGGTCCTGAGGGATCAGAATTCCAGCACAGCCTGGTGGTCCTGAGGGAATCAGCATTCCCTGGGGACCAGAATTCCCTGGGGATCAGCATTCCCTGGGGACCAGCCCGTGGTGCCGTGCTTGGATGCTCCCTACAGCTGCATCGTGCCCAGTGGATGCCAGTCTGGTGCATGGCTCATTTACTGGTTTCATGCAGGAGGTGTTTGGATCCAGAGCTGCCATCTGGCTGTGCCACGTCCCCATCTGGGCACTGCCATAATCCCAAAGTCTCTGGGGTGGCGTGGGCGATGCCCCGGCCTTGCAGGTCAAGCTCTGCCGTGGTGTGGGGACACGTGGCGTGCACAGGTGGCACAGGTCCTGCTCTGGGGGTTTCCTGTGAGCCCTGTGGCACCTCTGTCCCCACTCCTGGGCACCCTGAGGGTGGCAGGGCTGCCCTGAGCTCCCCAGGCCAGGGAACAGCATGGCCACGGGTCAGGCTCACAGCAGTGGTGCCAAACCCCACAGCCAGGGCACCAAGCTGCCCGTGGGCACCGCTCTGCCCCTGTGCCACCCAGGACGTGCTGGGCTGCCATGCCCTGATGCCCCAGTGCCTGGATCCATCCTGGATCCGAGGCAGGGACACCAGGAGGAGCGAGGGCTGCCCCTTCCAGCTGGTGCTGCTGAAGGTCAGAGAGGAAGATTAAATGAACGAGCCACAAGCTGCTCCTTCCCTTCCTAATGACCCGCCTGGCATCCAGCACCGCCGGGCCTGCCCTTGGCCAGGCAGGATGGTGTAAATCCCCTGGGCATTTCCATGTGGGTGTGCAGGAGCCAGGAGCGAGGAGAGGGACCCCCAGTGCAGCTCTGGGGGTGTCTCTGGCTCCCACAAACTCCTGTCACACCCCCAGGGTGCTGGGCACTGCCTTGGTGCCGCTCACAGGGATCCGCGGCAGGAATTCAGCTCGAGCAGACAAGAAAGCAGAGCCCTACCCCAAAGAAAAAACCCAGAGCTGTGATTGAACGTGCACTTGAAAGCTGCTGGGGAATATGAATGTGCCTTTGAAGTAAAAGGGCTTCCATTTGTTAAGCAGAAAATGGAGCTGTGTGGTTCGATTTATAGTTTTACTTAGCAAATAAAACAGGAGAGGAGTAAGTGGTTGTGCCTCGCTCGGCTCGCAGCCCCTCCGCCCCTTCACCCCCCGAGTTAAAAGCTCCGAGATGCTACAAAGGGAGCTGGGAATAAAGCAAAGCAGCAGCTTAGATAAACCTGCAGCGGGCTGAGCCCTTGTGGATGGGCTGCTGGAATGGTTCAGGGGGGGACAAGGGACAGGAAAGGGGCTGGGGTGGGGAGGTGACAGCAGGGTGATGCCAAGGGAATCATGGAATGCTTTGGGCTGGGAAGGATTAAATAATTAAATTTAATAATTAAATTAAATAATTTTGCTCCATGCCCTGCCGGGGGCAGCAGTGCTGGGTGCTCCACGGGTCTGTGGGATGTGGGGCCCTGATCCCTCTCCCTCCTCTCCCCACAGACGATGTCTCCCCGTACTTCAAGACGGAGCCGGTGCGGAGCCAGGTGCACCTGGAGGGGAACCGGCTGGTGCTCACCTGCATGGCCGAGGGCAGCTGGCCCCTGGAGTTCAAGTGGCTGCACAACAGCCAGGAGCTCACCAAGTTCTCCCTGGAGTACAGGTGAGTCTGGAAAGGCCTCGGCAGGGGCTGCCCAGGGAGGTTTGGAGCGCCCATCCCTGGAGGAGAACTGGAGCTGGCACTCGGCTCTGGGCTGGGGACGAGGTGGGGATGGGGCACAGCTGGGACACGATGACCTTGGAGGTGTTTTCCAGCCTCGGTGACTCTGGATTCTGAGCGTTCCCGAGCATCCGTGGCAAATCCTGCCTGTCATGCTGGTTCCTGGCAGGTGCCAGTGCCAGGGCTGCCGTCCTGGGAGGTGGCACAGAGGCAGCTCCTGGCAGCCCCGGAGCTGTGGCTCTGTTTGCAGAGCAAATGGGACTTTAAGCAGGTCAGCAGCGGGGAGGAGGTGTTTGCACAAGCAGATTAACACCTCAGCACTGGGCTGTGCATCACAGCCCCCGGGGCTCCCTGTGGGAGAGTGCCCAGCTCCAGCCCCCTGTGCCAACTGCTCCTGGCACGGAGAGACTCCGGCCCCTTGGAGACGGCCTTTAAATCAAGGCGGGCACCTCTGGCCGTCTCCTGTGAGTGTGTGTGTCATCCTCTCTGTTTTAATCAATAATTCAGGTTGAGACAAGCCGTTCCCCCTTCCCAGCATCGAATCCAAAGGCTTCGTGTTGCTGTAGCAACGCTGGGGCTGCTCTGGGATGCTGGGAACGCACAGAGCGTGGCTGGGTGATGGCTGTGCCCTGCTGGGATCCTGCAGCCAGGGCCCTCTCTGGGGACTGTCCCCTCCTGAGCGTGGTGGCTGCAGCTCTGCAGTGCCCTGAGTCCCTGGCTGGGGGCCCTGTGGGACACTCTTGTCCCTTGTCATGGTGTGGAGGTTCAGGGACCTGTTGAGTCCCTCAGTTCCCTGTTGGGGATGCAGCTCTTTCCCAGGCAGGGGAAAGGAGTCAGGACCTGGATCCCAGGCCCTGCTCTGCCCTGGGAATGAGCTGGGATGCCTGAGGGTCACCTCCAAACCCAGAACAGGCATTCTTGTGGTGTCACATTTTATTTAAATGGTACGTGGTGTCAAAATGTAACACCACACGTTCTGCCTCCTTTTCATGAGTTTCTCCTGGGTTTGATCTGTGCCTCAGTTGACCCTTCAGAAGGAAAGGGCCCAGCAGTGGTGTCTGTGCTCCGAGATGCCAGGCAGCTCCACATCCCTGCATCCCTGCATTCCTGAAACCCTGCATTCCTGTATTCATGCATCCCTCCATTCCTTGCACCTTGCATCCCTGCATTCCTGCATCCCTGCATCCCTGCATTTCTGAATCCCTGCATCCCTGAGTTCCTGCATCCCTCCATTCCTGCATTTCTGAATCCCTGTATCCCTGCATCCCTGCATTCCCACATCCCCTCATTCCTGCATCCCTCCATCTCTGGATCTCTGGAGCTCACTGCATCCCTGCATCCCTGCATCCCTGAATCCATGCATTCCTGCATCCCTGCATTTCTGAATCCCCTCATCCCCACATCCCCTCATCCCCACATCCCTGCATCCCTGCCTTCCTGCATTCCTGGATCCCCACATCCCTGAATCCCTGCATTCCTGCATCTCTGCATCCCTGAATCTCCACATCCCTGTATCCCTGCATCCCTGAATCCCCACATTCCTGCTCCAAGGTGCCTCCCCTCCCCTGGAGCCCTGAGCTCCAGCACTCAGGCAGAAAGGATTAAGGAAGGAAGCGAGAACCCAAGCAAACAAACACGTGGGGAAAACCCAAAACCCAAACAAACCCAGCTCAGCCAACGGAGCAGAGAAGGCACCGTGCAAATCCCAAATCCCTGCTGGGCTCCCCTGGACCCTGCCAGCATCCCTTGGCTCTGCCCGCGGCTCCGTGGGGATTTGGAGAGTGGAGATGAGGGCTTGGCTGTCGTGCCTGGCACTGGAGGCTGCTGGTGAGAAGGAGAAGGACCAAAATTAGTTATGATGGGCAGAAATTGAATTTTAATAGAGCTGTCGGTGGCGCGGAGCCAGCCCGCTCAGGCAGTGGGAAGGTTGTAATTAAAAGTTAACGAGTTTAGAAACAGAGTAATCCTTGGAGAGGGGAGGACTGGTGCTGATGGCCAGGGAGGCTCAGGGATGGTCTTGGCCGTGTGGGGCTGAGGATGGCTCTGGGTTTGGGGTGCACCAGTCCCTCCCAGCTCGGTGCTGCTGTGTGTCCGTCAGTCCAGGGACAGGAGGACATTCCCAGAGTCTGGCTGTGCCCATGAGGAAGGGTTTGGAGAGGACACTGTGCTGTGGGGGCTGGCTGGGCTTGGTGGCATCACTCACGGTCCCCAGCCAGCCTTGGTGGCATCAGCTCCCAGCTCCCAGCCAGGCTTAGTGGCTTCACCTCGTGTTTCCCAGCCAGGGCCATGTCTCCAAGCATTCCACCCTCATCATCCTCACTGCTGCTCCCCAGCCCCTCTCCTGAGCAGGGCATCCCTCTGGCTGCAGTGGCCTTTGTGCATTTCCAATTTGGGGGGCTGTGGGCAGGGGCTGGCTGTCCCCTCGTCCCCTTGGAGCCGCCCTGCTCGGTGCTCAGGGTGGTTGGGGGAGCTCAGGGTGGTCAGGGGAGCTCAGGGTGGTCAGAGCAGCTCGGGGTGGTCAGGGGAGCTCAGGGTGGTCAGAGCAGCTCAGGGTGGATTGGAGGAGCTCAGGGTGGTCAGAGCAGCTCAGGGTGATTGGGGGAGCTCAGGGTGGTCAGAGCAGCTTGGGGTGGTCGGGGGAGCTCAGCCACGTTTCCAGGGAAGGAGCCGCTCTCCCAGTTTGGCAGCGTTTCCATGGCGACCGCCCTTTCCTTCCCGCAGCGGTTCCGGAGCGGCTCCCGGCGTTCACCGAGGGCCAGGTGGGCACCGGGCCGGGTCTGCCCCAGCCCCGAGCCGGGCAGGGCAGCGGCGGTGCCTGTGCCTGGAGCTGATCCCTCGGGAGCATCCCTGGGAGCACTCGGCTCTCTGAGCATCCTGAGCCAACCTCCCCGAGGAGCATCCCGGGGGATTCGGAGACCTGAGGGATTCCAAAAGGCCTGGGGAGCAGCCCGGGGCTGTGTGCTTGTGGAGCCATCCCCCCTGGGGGATTGGGGGGATTGGGCACCAGCCTGGCTCTGTGTGTGACCATGGGTTCACCCCCCGGAGCATCCCTGGGGATGGAACATCCCAGCTTGGATCCAGGAGCATGCAGAGCTGCTTCCCTCAGGAGGATGCTGGGGATGGAGCAGGATGAGGGAGCCCTGAGGGACTGAGCAGCAGTCTGGGTCTGTGTCTGTGTGTGTGTGGAGCCATCCTCCCCTGGGACTATGGGGGGCTCAGGGATCAGCCTGGCTCTGTGTGTGTGTCTGTGTGTCTGTCTGTGTGTGTGTGTGGAGCCATCCTCCCCTGGGAGCATCCTCTGAGCTCAGGGATCAGCCTGGCTCTGTCTGTGTCTGTGCATGGAGCCATCCTCCCCTGGGAGCACCCCTGGGGCTGTGGGGGCTCAGGAATCACCTGGCTCTGTGTGTGCCCATGGATCTGTGATCCCAGGAACGTTTCTGCTGGGTGGGTGAGCTCAGGGACCACCTGCCCTCGCCTCCCTCCATTCCCTGCTGCTGGCACGGGGTACACGAGGCTGTTTTGCCATGAGATCCCTGCTCCCTCCCACAGGGACTCCCCTCTGGTGCCCATGAGGTGACAGCAGCCTGGGTGCCCACGCTCTCAGCTGGGTGCCCTGGCCCAGCTCTGCTTGTGCCTCCAGGATCTCTCCTGTGCTGGGCTCTCTGGAGCTGCTGGGATGAGGAATCACAACATGCAAATCAGGCAGCTTGATGTCTTTAATGAAATCCTCGGAAGGGAAGCGCTTCTCTGGTGAATTGAGGATATTTATTTCTCATACAAGAAATTTAACATGCAGATTAGTTGGGGCTGGTAATTTATCACATGAGATTGTCCTATTAAGGGCTGCATCGAGTCCTGCTGCCTTTGGAAATTACCTTACACATAGATTACCTCTGGACAGACTCCCATCCGTGGAGATGCATCCTCTGGCTCCTAAATCAGCCCTCGTGCCTCCCCTCATGGCCTCCACAGCTGGTGCAGGAGTCCAGCAGCGACTGAAGGATTCCCTGCCTCCTCTCAAGAGCCCAGCTCCCCTTTGCTGGAGCTTGGAGCAGTGGCATTCCATCTCTGACTCGGGCTGGCTTTGCCCTAGCTCTGCTCTGCCAAGCAGGGCTGGCACAGCTGAGCCTCCCCGTGCCATCCCATGCCAGCCCTGGGTGGGTTTTCCAGCACGTGGTGCCTCTGATCCAGCTCCTTCTCCTTTCTGTGTGGGCTCACCCAGATTTGGGGCTCTTCCAAGCCCTGCTCCTCCCTTGGGCTGTTTTGGGGTGTCCCCTGGGGGTACAGGGACACAACTGGCTGCACACACAGCACTCTGAGGTGCCTTTATGGCCTGGTGAGGATCCCAAATGTTTGGTGCCCAGAGTTTGTCCCTAAATTATGTAAAATACAGAGGCAGGAGCCTCTGAAAATGCCAGGCCTGGGGCAAACAGGATGGATCGCCCCTGGATTGCTGCTGGGAGCTCATCCCTGCTCTGGTGGGCCCAACCCTTTGCCAGCCCAGGTGTGAAGCCCAACCCTCTGCCTTGGGGAGCTAATTACCATGCAATGTGTTAATTAACGGCAGCTGAAGAACACTGGAAGGGTTGCAGCCAGGCTGGGTGGGAGCCCAGCAGGGCTTTCCTGGTTACTGTGGCTCCAGCCTGGCCTGTGTCACTTCTGGTGTCACCTCTGGTGCCACCACAGGCGGCAAAGCCCCAGGAGCGCTGGTGAGGAGCATGGGCAGCGCGGGGGATGATTTTCCTGGGAATGTTTGTGCTCCAGGGGAGGCTCCTGCCCGTCTCTGTGCCTTGCTTGGAACTTTGGGGATACTTGAACGTTGGCATGTGGGCACGGGGCAGTGGTGCCAGTGAACGGCAGCAGTGTCAGGGCTGGCAGGGGTGGCAGAGGAGGGAATCTCCGTGCTGGGATCCTAGAGGGGAGAGGACAGGCACTGCCGGAGCGGGAGATGCCCCCGGGGCTGGGAGGTGGCCAAGCTCGTGCTCAGCAATGCACCAGAGCCCTCCGGATGCCGCAACACGGCTCGAGGCTCGCTCCGTCCCTGCTCTGCAGGAAGGAGGCTGATTAATACACGGGCATTAATTATTAAATGGCTCATTGTTCTGGCAGGGCCAATTGAGGCAGCGATTTACGGCGCTGCCAATTCCCACGGCCGAGGGAGGGAAAACACTCCCGGGCAGGAGGAGAGGCAGCGGCCACGTGGATCCAAAGAGAATCCGTTCCAATCGGGAGCTAATTGAGATCCAATAGCCCCGTTCAGCCGGGCTGATGGAGCTCCAGGGGGGCCTCGCAGCCTCATCGAGCGCTGGCCCCGAGCAGGGGCCGGGACACTGCTCGGATGCTTCGAGTCGTTAAACCTCTGCTAAGTGTGTTTTAATGCTCACTTGACATTTCATTATCCCACAGTAACTATTCAAACACGCGTCCCCTCCAGAATTAATTAGTCGTTATGCAGGATATTAATCAAAGGGGACTGTGCCAGTGCTGCTTCCACCCCAAATCCGATCCAGCTGTTGCTGTTCCTGGGCGGCATTGGAAGAACCTCACAGATTTCTGCGCTCTTCTGGCTTTCAATTTGATGGATCAAATCCTTTGGCTGCCGCTTTTCCCGGCCCTTCTCCACCCCCTCAATCTAAGAATAATTCGGCAGCGTCAGCCCCACGCTCCTCAGCAACCCTACAACAACAGAGCCACGGCAGCAGCCGGGGCTGGGGCACGGCTGGCATGGGGGCAATCCTGAAGGATGGCACGGCCAGGAGCTGGGCATGGTGAGGAACCGGGCATGCTGCTGTGCCCTGCCCGGCTGAGGGATCAGGGATGGATGGATGGACAGACGGACAACCCTTCAATAACAGAGCCACAGCAGCAGCCGGGACTGGGGCCCGGCTGTGCCAGAGGGACGGGGGCAGTCCTGAGGGATGGCACGGCCAGGAGCTGGGCACGGTGAGGAGCTGGGCACGGTGAGGAGCCGGGCACGCTGCTGTGCCCTGCCCGGCTGAGGGACCGGGATGGATGGACGGACAGACGGACAGGTTGTCATTCCCAGCGTGCAGCCATCCATCTGTCAGACAGATCCGGTGCCAAAGCTGCCGTCGCAGACCCGCGGCTCCCCGGGCACGGGGCTCCTGCCCCCGGAGCCCCCTCCTGACCCCGGGGCTGAGCGGGGCGCAGCCGCTTCCTGCCGGGGCAGGGGGGGTCAGCGCTCGCTGCTCCCCACGGACTGTGCCCTGTCAAGCTCCGTCTTCACAGAGAAGCCAAACAAACCCCTGGAACAGCGGAGTCAGCAGCGAGGGCTGGCCGGGAGCCGGGCCAGCTTCACCTCGGTCCCGGCTGGAGCGGGGGCGGGGGGACAAAGCCACCCGGCCGGGGGGACAAAGCCACCGGGAGCGGTCCCAGCTGGAGCAGCGCCTTCCTCGCGTGGAACAAAGGCCCTGGAACCCCTGGCCACGAAGCTGTGGCACGAACTGGGGGGTGGGCTGGCATCCCCCCCTCCTGCCTGCAGCGCATCCCCTGTGAGGGGTGACAGGAGGGTGACATTGGGGGTGAAATCAATCCCCGGCCCCTCCCAGCCAGGAGCGATGGGGGAGGAAATCGAAGCCGAGCGCTCCTGGATGAAAGCCTCGGTGGAAGGCGAGCGGGGAGAACAAAGTCTGTGCTGGTTTGGTTGATGACTGCGGGCTGGGCTGCGCCGGGAATTGATTTCCTTTCTCCGGGCTATTTTCAGCTGCTGAGGTGTGTGTGCGAGTGCTGCTGCTTCAATAACTCCTGCAGCTCCCGTGTGTGGGCACCAGGCCCCCTAAATTGGATCTGCTGGGGTGTCCTGGGCTGGGGACACAGCTCCCTGTGCCCATGGAGTGTCCTGGGCTGGGGACACAGCTCCCTGTGCCCATGGAGTGTCCTGGGCTGGGGACATGGCTCCCTGTGCCCATGGAGTGTCCTGGGCTGGGGACACGGCTCCCTGTGCCCATGGAGTGTCCTGCCTGTGGGGACACGGCTCCCTGTGCCCATGGAGTGTCCTGGGCTGGGGACACGGCTCCCTGTGCCCATGGAGTGTCCTGGCCTGTGGGGACACAGCTCCCTGTGCCCATGGAGTGTCCTGGGCTGGGGACACAGCTCCCTGTGCCCATGGAGTGTCCTGGGTTGGGGACAGAGCTCCCTGTGCCCATGGAGTGTCCTGCCCATGGGGACACAGCTCCCTGTGCCCATGGAGTGTCCTGGGCTGGGGACACAGCTCCCTGTGCCCATGGAGTGTCCTGCCCATAGGGACACGGCTCCCTGTGCCCATGGAGTGTCCTGCCCATGGGGACACAGCTCCCTGTGCCCATGGAGTGTCCTGAGCAGGGGACACGGCTCCCTGTGCCCATGGAGTGTCCTGGCCTGTGGGGACACGGCTCCCTGTGCCCATGGAGTGTCCTGCCTGTGGGGACACCGTGCTGCCAGGCCTGTGCTAAAGGTGCTCCCTATGACCCCGTTTGTGTCCCTTGGGCTGTGCCAGTGCTGGTGGCTTTGCATTGTCCCCATCTGGAGGGGACACGGCAGCGAGGACACGAGTCTGTTTGGGGCCACACGTGTCCCTGTGCCGCTGTGTGTCCGTCCATCCATCTGTCCGTGGGCGTGCGTGTGCTCGGGAGTCACGGTGTGATTTATTAACGAGGACACGGCAAGGAGAGCGGGCCCATTACTCCTGGCGTCTGCAGCCCTTCCTGACAGCTCCGTGGAATTGAAATATCTTATTTAAAGCCTCTGGGGAGCGTTTTTAAATATCAGCCGTGACACTCAAGGTCTCGTTCCCAAAGGGCACCTCCCTCCTCCTCCTCCTCCTCCCGCGGGGACGGGTGACCCCGGCACGCTGCGTGGGTGGGTGGGCGGCCGGCTGGTGTCACCGCGGCTTTGGTGACAGTCCCGCCGGGCCAGGGGACAGCCCCGCGTCCCCCGTCACCCTCTGCCATGCGCAGGGAACGCGCTCCTCAGGTCTTATGAAAGTTTAATTTACGCTCGGTTCTCAGAAGAGCAAACAAAGCTCTGCCGAAAGAGCCCGCGGCGGGTTTTAACGCAAGATTAGATTTTTGGGCAAGGAGGGCTGAGCTTGCTTTATTTATTCCCTCTCTGCTTTATCTCGCAGCGCTCCCCGTCGGGGGCAGCGAGGCTGCAGCGCCTGCCCGGCTCCCGGGGCTGGGGACAGCGCTGGTGGCAGCAGGGTCCGGCTTGGGGACCGCGGCGATGCTCGGGGGGCAGTCGAGGGGAGATGTGGTGATTTCCTTTATCTGCTCACCGGCTGCTGGCGCTGGCCGCTGATAAGAGCAGGCGGGAGGGTGATAAGGGGGGGCTCAGCCGGGATTCACCGGAGCAGTGCTGGACTTGGCCGCTCTCAGATCCAGGCTGGGTGACACCAGCAGAACGCAGCGTCACGGCAGGGGCAGGAGCAGGGCTCAGGACAGCCCCTGCACCGGGAGGGTGACGGTCACCAGCTTGTGCACAGTGGAAGCACGGCCAGCGTGGGCGGCCGCGAGTCCCTGTGAGGGACACTGGGGTGTCCCCCAGCCTGCACGCACATCCATGTCCTACATGCACCTCCTCGGGGAAAGGAGCTCCTGGCACACGTGCAGTAAATCGGGAGGGTGTGCAGGGCCTGCAGCCTCGCCGGGGGCTGTGACAGTGACACGGATGTCCCCTCACGGCTGTTCCCCTCCCGCAGGTACATGATCACCTCGCTGGACCGCACCCACGCCGGCTTCTACCGCTGCATCGTCCGCAACCGCATGGGAGCGCTGCTGCAGCGCCAGACCGAGGTGCAGGTGGCCTGTAAGTGACCGTCCTGCCCCGCGGGGACCGCACGGGGACACCCAGCTCCCGGCGCTGGGGGACAGCTCCGCTGTGGGTGCCAATCGTGGCCAGCGCATGCAAACCTGCAGCATCCCCGGGGTGACGCTGGGAGGGACATTGGCACACCCCTGGGGTGACACTGGCAGGGACATTGCAGCATCCCTGGGGTGGTGCTGGGCAGGGACATCAGAGCATCCCTGCGGTGACACTGGCAGGGACATCGGAGCATCCCCGGGATGATGCTGGCAGGGACTTCGGAGCATCCCTGGGGTGACACTGGCAGGGACATTGGAGCATCCCTGGGGTGGTGCTGGGCAGGGACATCAGAGCATCCCTGCGGTGACACTGGCAGGGACATCAGAGCATCCCTGGGGTGACATCCAGAGTGTCCCTGGGGTGGTGCTGGTGAGATTTAAGGAGCAGATGGCAGTGCTGAGGCCTGGGATGGTGGCTCTGTCCCCCGAAGGGACCTGCCCCTCTCTGTCACCCCTTGCCTCTGGGATATCCCCAGTCCCATCCCCTCAAACACCTCCTGAGGAGCAGTGACAAATCAGGAGGATAATGAGAAATTAATAAGGCAGCTGTGCTAACAACTAATGATAATGGCAAAGTCGTTAAAAAAGGATTCTTTACATGTTTTTAATTACAGCAATTAAGGAAGTCAATAAAAATCATCCCCTGTCCCACCCCCCTCTCCTCCATGCCCCCTGCTTCCCCCAGTCTCCCACAGCTGCTGTGTGCTTCCAGCTGGGAATGGCAGGGGGGATGGAGGCAGCTGTGCCACACCTTGTCCCTGGAGGCAGGGCCATGCTGGGATGCTCCTGGCACTGGGACATGTGATGGTGTTCACAGGGGTCTCAGGATGAGGGAAGAGAGGAGGATCTGACTCCATGTTTCAGAAGGCTGATTTATTATTTTATGATATATATTACATTAAAACTATACTAAAAGAATAGAAGAAAGGATTTCATCAGGAGGCTGGCTAAGAATAGAAAAAGAAAGAATGATAATGAAGGTTTGTGGCTCAGACTCTCTGTCTGAGCCAGCTGGGCTGTGATTGGCCATTAATTAGAAACAACCAACAGGGACATGCCATGGGGAGCAGAGAGAGGCTGGGGAGCCCCGGGACTGAGCCCTCCCTGCTGTGGCTGCAGCCTGGCTGTGGTGGGGACACTCGGGCAGGGGTCCCTGACCCAGCACAGGGGGGATGGATGGATGAGGGATGGATGGATGATGGATGGACAGACAGATGGATGGACAGACAGATGGATGGACAGACAGATGGCTGGATGGATGGATGGATGAGGGATGGATGGATGGATGAGGGATGGATGGATGGATAATGGATGGATGGATGATGGATGGATGGATGGATGGATGGAGGGATGGATGAGGGATGGATGGACAGATGGATGGATGGATGGATCACCACGAGCAGCTGGTGGCATCCGAGCCATCTCCCACCCTGAACCCCCGAGGAGGGGACCGGGACCACCCCTCTGCACCATCCCATGGGAGCCCATCCCGCAAACCCCGTCCTGCTGCTCAGCCAGACCTGGCTCTGCACTCCTGGGCTCAGCCCCAGGCCTGGCACGGTTCCCTGCCCTGTTTGCAGACATGGGGAGCTTTGAGGACAGCGAGGCGCAGCAGAGCGTGTCCCACGGCGAGGCGGCCGTCATCCCCGCGCCCCGCATCGCCAGCTTCCCACAGCCCCAGGTCACCTGGTTCCGCGATGGACGGAAGATCTCCCCCAGCAGCCGCGTGTGAGCACCCCTGGAACCCCCCTGGATCCCTCCCCAGCATCCCAGGGGCCGTATTTCCCCTTGTCCCCACGCCGAGGGTGTTTAATCAACATTGTGCTCAAGCCCAGTGACTAATGGCTCTGTTTGTCACCAGAGAAGGGGATTTCTTAACAGAAAATGAAAACAGGAGGGAGGAAGGCGGGGGAGAGGGTGGGAGAGAGCCAAACATGGCACACAGGTGTCCCCACGGAGCTATGGCAGATCCCGGTGCTGCCAGAGCCCTGGGCAGCCGCAGGCGGCAGGAATTGAATTTGTAACCCCCATTATGCAGGAATTGAACTGGTCTCCTTTCGATTTGCAAAGCAGGATTGAGGAGATAAAACTCCTTTATCTCATATTTAATGGTAAAAAAAAAAAAACATATTCCCCAGAGCATTTTATGTTTCCAGCAGATTAGATTGTTCCAATAAGTAAAAAATGAAAAAAAAAAAGAGAAATCCTCAGAATCTTCACTGTCCCGTGGGCTCTGCTTGGACAGAGGGGTGCCGGGCTTGGTCCCCCCATTTTGGGGGGAGGCTGGGGGTCCCACGGGGGTGCTGGGTGGGCTGTGAGGGTCCCAGCTCACTGGGTTCAGCCCCACCACGCTGCTCTCCCAGGGCCATCACGCTGGAGAACACGCTGGTGATCCTGTCCACGGTGGCGCCGGACGCGGGGCGTTACTACGTGCAGGCGGTCAATGACAAGAACGGGGACAACAAGACAAGCCAGCCCATCACCCTGACGGTGGCCAGTGAGTGTGGGGGGCGCTGGCCCCCTCTCCCCAGCCCCTGCCTCGCCCCCAGGTTTAATTTGCAGTAAATCTCTTCGGAGGCTCCGGCTTCTGCTGACTTAACACTTCAGCTGCCTCGGAATTTATTTAGGTGCTTGTGGCCGTGCCGCAGGCGCTGCTGTGTCACAGGCAGAGCATCACCCTGCCATGCCCCGGGATGGCTGTGGAATGGGGGCTGCAGTGTCACCCCATGGACATCCCCCCACCCCTGTCTGTGTCCCCCTGTCAGCTCCTGGTGCTCTGGAGCAGCCCCTGCTTGGGGGCCACCCCTGTGGCTTTGTTCCTCCAGTTCCTTTGGGTCCCCCAGGACTTCCAAGGGTCCCTCAGCCCATTTGGGTGGTGACAGCCCCTCCCATGGGACATGCCCTGAGGTGACATCAGTCCTGTCACACTCTCCCCCTCTCCCCTCCTGCTGCTCCACAGGGTTAGGATGGGTTATCCCTGTCTGTCTGTCTGCCTGTCTCCCATCCCCATCAATCTGTTCTCCCGTCCCTCGGCGTCCTGGAGCTCCATAAACATCCCAGGCCCTGTTTATGGATTCAGCTCTATCAGCAGCTTTCGAGCCCATCGCGTTTTTACAGCGCCTACATGAGGGTTTTTTATTGTTACCATCATTTTGCTTTATGGACTCCCTGCTCCCTCCTCCCTGCTGCCACCAGCCTGGTGGCCCTGGTGGCGTGACAGGGCTCCCACGGGGGGACACAGCTTAGGGACACCCTGGTGCCACCAGGTCCCTGTCACCCTTGTCTCCTCCAATCTGGGGATTTGGGTGCCCTCTCTGGGGACACCCCGGGGTGGCAGGGGGTGCTCATGGCTGTCCCCCTGGCCTCCCTCTCCCCAGATGTGGGTGGCCCGGCTGACCCCATCGCACCCACCATCATTGTCCCTCCCAAGAACACCAGCGTGGTGGCCGGGACCTCGGAGGTGACCATGGAGTGTGTGGCCAACGCCAGGTGAGCCCTGGGGTGGGGATGAGGATGGGCAATCTCCCTGTTGGCATTGCCCAAGGGAGATTTAGGGGCTGGGTGCTCCTAAACCCCTTCCCACCACACTCCTGGGACCTGTGGGATGGAGGGAGGTCCCTTCCCATGGAGTCCTGCGGGATGGAGGGGGTGGGATCCTCCAGGGAAGGCTCTTGACATGCCCTGGCCCCCCAGGCCACTGATCAAGCTGCACATCATCTGGAAGAAGGACGGGGTGCCCGTGTCCAGCGGGATCAGCGACTACAGCCGGCGGCTGACCATCCTGCACCCCACCCTGAGCGACAGCGGCTTCTACGAGTGCCAGGCTGTGCTGCGCAGCAGCAGCGTCCCCGCCGTGACTGCTGGTGCCTTCCTGTCCGTGCTGGGTGAGCTCCTGCCCCTGCTGGGTCAGCTCCTGCCCGTGAGCACCTCCCTGTGTCCGTGCTGGGTCAGCTCCTGCCCGTGGGCACTTCCCTGTGTCTGTGCTGGGTGAACTCCTGCCCGTTGGCACTCCCTGCCCATGCTGGGTGAGCTCCTGCCCGTGGGCACCTCCCTGTATCCATCCTGGGTAAGCTCCTGCCCATGCTGGGTGAGCTCCTGTCCATTGGCACCTCTCTGTCCATGCTGGGTGAGCTCCTGTCTGTGGGCACCTCCCTGTGTCCCTGCTGGGTGAGCTCCTGCCCCTGCTGGGTCAGCTCCTGCCCACCAGCAGCCCAGACCACACGTGCCATGAGCTGGGGCAGGGCTGGGAGGTGACAGGAGGGGCACTGGTCATCCCAAGGACCCTGGGGAGAGGCTCTGCCCCCGTTGCCATTTCCTGGTTCCCTCGGCAGAGCCCCCTCAGTTCATCAGGGAGCCGGAGAGGCACATCACGGCCGAGATGGAGAAGGTGGTGGCCATCCCCTGCCAAGCCAAGGGTGAGCTGCTCCCCGGCACCCTCTGTGCGCCACCACCAGCCCCTGCCTGACGTGCCCGTGCCCCTGCAGGTGTCCCCCCTCCCGAGATGGCCTGGTACAAGGACGCTGCCCTCCTGCAGCTGGAGAAGCTGTCCCGTTTCCAGCTGCTGCAGGACGGCAGCCTGCAGATCAGCGGGCTGCTCCCTGATGACACCGGAATGTTCCAGTGCTTCGCCCGCAACGCAGCCGGCGAGGTGCAGACCACCACGTACCTGGCCGTGACCAGTAGGTGCCACCTCCCCTTGCCCTGGGGGTGCCATGTCTGGGTGGTGGGCCACAGACAGCTCAGGGAGCCCAGGAAACTCTTCTGGGTCAGGTCGGGGCTGGGCACAGCACAGGGAGGGGATTCAGGGGGGCTGTGCACCTCTGTGCCCCGCAGGCATCGCCCCCAACATCACGCGGGGTCCCCAGGACAGCACGGTGATCGACGGCATGGCCGTCATCCTCAACTGCGAGACCTCGGGGGCGCCGCGCCCGGCCATCACCTGGCAGAAAGGTACAGGGCTGGGGAGGAGCCTGGAGCCCGTCCTCGCTGCCCGGCGGTGGCCGTGGTGCTGACGGGCCCTGTGCGTCCCCAGGGGAGCGGGTCCTGGCCAGCGGCTCGGTGCAGCTGCCCCGTTTCACCCTGCTGGAGTCGGGCAGCCTCCTGGTGAGCCCCGCACACCTGCCCGACGCTGGCACCTACACCTGCCTGGCCACCAACTCCCGCGGCGTGGATGAAGCCTCTGCCGACCTGGTGGTCTGGGGTAAGGGCTTCACAGTGGGCCAGGGAAAGGAGGGACCCTGCCCCAGCGGCTGTGGGGCCAGCCCGGTGCTGTGGGATGGAGCTCTCCGGGGATGGGCGCTGGGTTTTGGGGGTGCAAACGGGGGCTGTCCCTGCTGGTGCCACCCCGCAGTGCTGGTGGGTCATTGTGTCCCCCCCACAGCAAGGACACGGATCACAGACCCGCCACAGGACCAGAGTGTCATCAAGGGCACCAAGGCTGTCATGAGCTGCGGGGTCACTCATGACCCCAGTGTGGATGTCAGGTGAGGGAGAGGTTTGGGGAGTCCAAGTACCCCGGGTTGCCCACCTGGCTGCTGTCAGTGCTGTCCTGGGGAGGGAGATGGGGGTCTCCTTCCTCAGCCCCGCGCTGGTGGTGCTGCAGTGCCACCTGGTGCCCTGTGAGAGCGAGACCCTGTCCCCTGTGCTCTCTGGGGGGCTGTGGGGCACCAGCACACCTGGCTCCCCTGGCACAGGTACGTCTGGGAGAAGGATGGGGCTCCACTGGGCCCTGAGAGCGGCCCCCGGGTGCGCCTGGACGAGGTGGGCACCCTGCACATCTCCCAGACCTGGTCGGGTGACATCGGCACCTACACCTGCAAGGTGATCTCGGCCGGGGGCAACGACTCTCGCAGCGCCCACCTCCGTGTCCGGTGAGACCCCCCTCATCCTGCCAGCACCCTGGGGCTGTGCCCCCTCCCTCCTTCCCTGCCTAACCCCCCTGTCCAGGCAGCTCCCCCACGCCCCCGAGAGCCCGGTGGCCGCCCTGAGCCCGCAGGAGAAACGGGCCATCAACCTCACCTGGGCCAAGCCCTTCGACGGCAACAGCCCCCTGCTCCGCTACGTCGTGGAGGTCTCCGAGAACAGTAAGGGGCTGCTGCCACCCCCTGGCACCGCTGGCACTGGGACAAGTCCCCAGTGTCACCCCTGCTGCAGGGGACGCTGCTTGGGGACCCAGGGATAGGTCAGCCAGGCTGGGGACCCCAGTGTCCTGCAGGCCAGGTCCCCACCCTGCTGTCCCCTCTTCCCCCAGACGCGCCCTGGACTGTGCTGCTGGCCAGCGTGGACCCCGAGGTGACATCGGTGACAGTGCGGGGCTTGGTGCCCGCTCGCTCCTACCAGTTCCGCCTGTGTGCTGTGAACGACGTGGGCAGGGGACAGTTCAGCAAGGACACGGAGAGGTGAGTCCCGGCCTGGGGGGGGTCCTGGGGGGGCTGGTGACCCCGGTGCTCACCCTGCCCTGTCCCTGCAGGGTGTCCCTGCCCGAGGAGCCGCCCTCTGCGCCCCCCCAGAACGTCATCGCCAGCGGCCGCACCAACCAGTCCATCATGATCCAGTGGCAGCCGCCCCCTGAGAGCCACCAGAACGGGGTCCTCAAGGGCTACATCATCCGGTAGGTGCCAGCAGGGATGCCCAGGGGCCCACACCTGGTGCTGGTGGGGACAGTGGCAGCTCTGATGGCTCCTGGTGCCCAGGTACTGCCTGGCCGGGCTGCCCGTGGGGTACCAGTTCAAGAACATCACCAACGCCGAGGTCAACAACCTCCTCCTGGAGGACCTCATCATCTGGACCAACTACGAGATCGAGGTGGCCGCCTACAACAGCGCTGGCCTGGGGGTCTACAGCATGAAGGTGACAGAGTGGACGCTGCAGGGAGGTAGGCAGGGGCAATCAGGGGTGAGCAGGGGCTTGGTGGGCACCCTGATAGCATCAGGTGCCATTGGTGGGGTGGGATGGGAGGCAGGAGGATGGGTGTGGAGCCCCAGGGGGACTGGGGTGTGCTGGGCAGGGATGACCCGGGGGTGGGCACCCAGCTGATGGAGGGGACCTCATGGAGCTGTCCCTGTGAGCTGTCCCTTCATCCTGGCAGTGCCCACGGTGCCTCCCGGGAATGTGCAGGCTGAGGCCACCAACTCCACCACCATCCGCTTCACCTGGAACCCCCCAAGTCCCCAGTTCATCAACGGCATCAACCAGGGCTACAAGGTGAGGGTGATTCCCAAAACCAGAACAGCTTGTGGGGAAAACTTGGTCAACCTTCACAAACTGTCTTGGCTCCTCCTCGCTGAAATCCCCGATTTTAATTGGCTCTCTCCTGACTGTTAAAATAATATTTACTGTTATTTAACACTTGCATGGGCTCGGAGTCTCCCATGCTCTGTAATTAATTCAAATTTACATTAATGAAATTGAATTAAAACATTAAACTTGTGTTTTAATCCACTCGAAAGAAGTTCGGGAATTTAATTGCTGCTGAATGAGATAACCAGCGTGAGTAGGATATTTAACATTCCTATTAAACGCCACTTAGTATTTTTGATTAGTATTTTTAGGGCCTAATTAGTGTTTAATTAAGTTGCTAGAGGCTATCTTGCACAATACCAATTAAATGCCCAGCCATCCCTCCTGGATGCGGGCAAGGGGGGGATCCCGTTATCGATGGAGTTAATCACAGCTCCGTAAACAGCGCCGGCATCCAGCGCTCCCCGCACCCTTAATTGATCGTTAATCAACGCCTAATTAATAAGAGGAGGCCGGAGGCAATGGTTTTGGCGCAGGGAACCTTCATGGCAGCTCCTTCCTCCTTTCTCGCCCAGCTCATCGCCTGGGAGCCGGAGCACGAGGACGAGGCCACGGTGGTGACGGTGCGGCCCAACTTCCAGGACAGCGTGCACGTGGGCTACGTGCCGGGGCTGCGCAAGTTCGCCGAGTACCTGACCTCGGTGCTGTGCTTCACTACGCCCGGGGACGGCCCGCGCAGCCCCCCTCAGCTGGTGCGCACCCACGAGGACGGTACGGGGAGGCTCCCGGCCCCCGGCATGGACCCTGCCCGCCCCCCGGCTCCGTCCAAGGGGGTCCCGTGGGTGCCGAGGGTGCTCTGCGCTTGGGTGTTGAGTGTTTGGGTGGTTTTGGGCAGTGCCTGGCCCCGTGGGACACCTGAGCTTCAGTGACATCCTGGATACGTCCCTGAAGGTCAGCTGGCAGGAGCCGCTGGAGAAGAATGGGATCCTGACGGGTAAGGGAAGCACCAGCAGGTGCTGGCTCTGTCATCGGTGCCTTTCCCACCCTGCAACACCTCCCCCTTTTCCTGTCCCATTCCCACTCTGCAGCACTGTCCCCTGTGTCCCCATGCCACCCTGCAGTCACACTCACATCCCCTTTTCGTCCCCCACAGCATCTTCCCTTTGTCCTCTTCCCACCCCACAGCATCTCCCCATTTTTCTGTCCCATTCCCACTCTGCAGCACTGTCCCCTGTGTCCCACTGCCACCCTGCAGTCACATTCACATGTCCTTTTCCTCCCCCACAGCATCTCCCCTTTGTCCTGTCCTCTTCCCACCTGCCCTGTCCCACCTGCCCTGTCCCCACACAGCCCGTGGGGTGCGCGATGCAGGGGTGACGCCGCACGGGTGGCACTGCAGGGGTGACACTGCAAGGGTGACACTGCAGGGGTGCATTCCAGGGTACCGGATCTCCTGGGAGGAGTACAACCGCACCAACACGCGGGTGACGCACTACCTGCCCAACGTCACCCTGGAGTACCGCGTCACCGGCCTCACCGCCCTCACCACCTACACCATCGAGGTGGCCGCCATGACCTCCAAGGGACAGGGACAGCTCTCCTCCTCCACCATCTCCTCAGGGGTCCCCCCAGGTGAGCACTGTGGTGTTGGGGTGCTGGAGGGCTGTGCGTGGTGCTGGGGGCGAGTGGCTGGTGCCACCCATCCTGTCCTGTCCCCACAGAGCTCCCCGGTGCCCCCACCAACCTGGGCATCTCCAACATCGGCCCCCGCTCCGTCACCATCCAGTTTCGCCCGGGTTACGATGGTAAAACCTCCATCTCCCGCTGGCAGGTGGAGGCACAGGTACAGGGGGGCTCAGGAAGGGGCTCAGGGGGTGTTTGGGGGAGTGGTGGTGCTCGCTTGGGTCCCAGGGTGAGGGAAGAGATGAGAATGTTGACTCCATGTTTCAGAAGGCTGATTTATTATTTTATGGTATATATTATATTAAAACAATACTAAAGTAATAGAAGAAAGGATTTCATCAGAAGGCCAGCTAAGAATAGGAAAAGAATGATAACAAAGGTTTGTGACTGAGACAGTCTGAGCCAGCTGACTGTGATTGGCCGTTAATTAGAAACAACCACATGAGCCCAATCCCAGATCCACCTGTTGCATCCCACAGCAGCAGATAACCATTGTTTACATTTTGTTCTTGAGGCCTCTCAGATTCTCATGAGAAAAAATCCTAAGGAAAGGATTTTTGTGCCATGGGGGCAGCTCACCCCGCTCACCCCACTGCCACCCCACAGGTGGGCCAGAACGGCGAGGCCGGTGAGTGGGGGCTCGTGCACCAGCTGGCCAACGAGCCCGACACCCGCTCCATGGAGGTGCCCAACCTGAAGCCCTACACCTACTACAGGTGAGTGCCAGGCTGGTGCCACGGTGCCATCCCTGGGTCCCTCACTGTGACCTCAGTGTCCTCCCCAGGGGACTGGAGCCCTCTTGGCCCACACTGTGACCCCCCTCTCCTCTCTTCCCTCAGCTTCCGCATGCGGCAGGTGAACATCGTGGGCACCAGCCCCCCCAGCCTGCCCTCCAGGAGGATCCAGACCCTCCAGGCCCCCCCGGACATGGCCCCTGCCAACGTCACCCTGAGGACGGCCAGTGAGACCAGCCTGTGGCTGCGCTGGATGGTGAGGGGGGGCTGGGGTCTGTGCCTGCGTGGCTGAAGAGGGGATGGAGCCGGAGGGGCTGTGGGACATCAGGAGTGACAGTGGCTGTCCCTGGCAGCCCCTCCTGGAGCAGGAGTACAACGGGAGCCCTGACTCGGTGGGCTACAGGATCCGGTATGCGCGGGCGGACGGGCGGGGGCAGCCGGCGCTGCAGCTGATCCGTGACCGCGTGGAGAGGGAATTCACCATCGAGGACCTGCAGGAGTGGACCGAGTACCGGGTGCAGGTCCAGGCCTTCAACGCCATCGGCCCCGGGCCCTGGAGCCCCCCGGTGCTGGGGCGCACCCGGGAGTCAGGTACTGCTGCCCACCTGGGCACTGAGCACCCACCTCGGCCAATGTGGCCAGGTACCGCTGCCCACCTGGGCACTGGGCACCCAGCTCGGCCAATGTGGCCACTGACCCTCTCTGTTGCCCCCCTCCAGTGCCCTCCTCTGGCCCCAGCAATGTGTCAGCAGTGGCCACCTCCTCCAGCAGCCTGCTGGTCCGATGGAGTGACATTTCTGAGGCTGACTGCAACGGGCTCATCCTGGGCTACAAGGTGAGCTCCTGCCCATGGGCAGCACAACTTTCCCTGGGAGAATCACCCTGCAGGCTGTGGGGCTCCTAACTGTGCCACCCCCAAGGAGCTGGTGGCCCAGCTGTGTCACACGGGCTGTGTCACACTGGCCATGTCACACGGGCTGTGTTTCAGGTGCTGTACAAGGAGAAGGGTTCGGAGGCACGTGCCCGCTTCTGGCTGGCAGAGGGTAATGCCTCCCACAGTGCCCAGCTCACCGGGCTGGCCAAGTACACCCTGTACGAGATCCGGGTGCTGGCCTTCACCAGGATGGGCGATGGTGTCCCCAGCCGGCCTCCTGTCCTCGAGAGGACACTGGATGATGGTGAGTGACAGCACCTGGGTGGGCTGGGTGATTGATCCCGTCCCATCCCTGGGTGATTGATCCCATCTTACCTCTGTCTGATTAATCCCATCCCATCCCTGGGTGACTGATCCCGTCCCATCCCTGGGTGATTGATCCCATCCGTGGGTGATTGATCCCATCCCATCCGTGGGTGATTGATCCCATCCCATCCCTGGGTGATTGATCCCATCCCATCCTATCCTGTCTGATTAATCCCATCCCATCCCTGGGTGATTGATCCCACCCTATCTGGGTGATTGATCCCATCCCATCCCTGTTCTCTGGGGTGATCCCTCTCCCCCTGCCCAGGACACTCAGGGCTCCCAGGGCATGGGATCTTTTCCCCACTCCCCAGTGACTCCAATCTGTCCCCTTGCAGTGCCCGGGCCCCCTGTGGGGCTCCTCTTTCCTGAAGTGAGGACCACCTTGGTGAGGCTCATCTGGCAGCCCCCGGCAGCCCCCAACGGTGTCATCCTGGGTAGGTGGGGAGCACCCGGGGTGAGCCACTCTGGGATGCTCTGCAGAGGGATGCAGAGGTCCTGGGGGGGCAGGGATTGTCAGAGAGCAGCTCCCTGAGCATCTCGGAGCCCTCAGGGGTGAAATTCCCCGCTCACTCGGATGTTGGCCCCGGGCTGGGTGTGAGCAGGTTGGGATGGAGGGGGCGGGACGGGGAGGGGTCCAGGCTGGTGTCCCCTCCCCAGCGCCACCCCTCCGCTCCCTCCCCGCAGCCTACCAGGTCAGCCACCGCCTGAACACCTCGGCGGTGACCGCGGCCGCCGTGGAGGTGCTGGATGCCAGCGCCCGGCAGTTCACGGCCACCGGCCTGCAGCCCGAGGCCACCTATCTGTTCCGTGTCACCGCGCAGAGCCGCAAGGGCTGGGGCGAGCCGGCCGAAGCGCTGGTGGTCACCACCGAGAAGAGAGGTAAGGACGGGGGTCCCGGCTGGCGGCGGGGGGCTGGCGGTGCCCTCGCAGTGCTGCCAGCCCCTCGCCTCCCCCAGCCCGGCCGCAGCCCCCCGGGAAGCCGCTGGCGCAGCAGGAGGAGGTGCGGGCGCGGAGCGTGCTGCTGTCCTGGGAGCCGGGCAGCGATGGGCTCTCCCCCGTGCGCTACTACACCGTGCAGAGCCGCGAGCTGCCCGACGGAGAATGGGCCCTGCACTCCTCCCCCGTCAGCCACAACGCCACCGCCTTCGTCGTGGACAGGTGAGGGGCTGGGGATGCGGTGGGGGGGGTGATGCTCCGGGTGGTTTCCCCGTGCCTCAGTTTCCCCATGGCGTGAGAGGTGCTGTACGAGGCTGGGGAGCGATGGCGCGGTGGGAGGGAGTGGCTCGGGGGTGACGCCCTGGCTGCCCCGTCCCCATCCCGCTCTGCTCCCTGCAGGCTGAAACCCTTCACCTCCTACAAGTTCCGTGTGAAGGCCACGAATGACATCGGGGACAGCGAGTACAGCGAGGAGTCAGAGTCCCTGACCACCCTGCAGGCAGGTCAGCACCTCCTGGGGCAGGGACAGCGGTTCTGTGCCCAAGGGAACAAATCCTCCTTTGTCCTGGGCGTCTCCAGAGCCTCACCACCCTTTTCTCCCCCCCAGCCCCCGAGGAGGCTCCCACCATCCTCTCCATCACTCCCCACACCACCACGTCGGTGCTCATCCGCTGGCAGGTACCGTCCCCTCTGCCCTGCCCTGCCCTGCCCTGCACCAGGTGACACCTCAGGGTGCCAGGGAGCCCTGGGCCAGAGCAGCCCCTGACTGCCTTCCCTCCCTGCCCTGCAGCCCCCGGCTGAGGACAAGATCAACGGGATCCTGCTGGGCTTCCGGCTGCGCTACCGGGAGCTGCTGCACGACAGCCTGAGGGGCTTCTCCCTGCGCGGCCTCGGCCACCCCGGCGCCACCCGTGAGTGCCCCCAGGACAGGGGCTGGGGTGGCCTGGGGGTGGCAGGTGGGATCTGAGCAGTGCAGCATCCACAGCATCTCCCCGGTACCAGGGTCAGGCTGTGCCCCCTGGAGCTGTCACCAGTTCCCCCTGTGCCACCAGGTCTGTGGTCCCTAACGTGCTTTTGTGTCACTGGCTCTGTCCCATTGTGTCCACCAATCTGAACCTCCCAGGGGTGTCTGCACCAAACACAGGCTGTGTGACATCCTGCTGGGTGTCATCCTGCTGTATGTCCTCAGCCCCTGCAGGCAGCAGGGTCACATCCACTTTGGTGGCAGCAGGGATACGAGTGACAAGGGCATAGCCAAGGCAGGACCTGGCCCTGTCCTCTGTGGGGACCCCAATGCACAAACCTGGCTGGTGGCACTCAGGGCATGGGGCTGGAGGATGGAAATGCTCCTTAGTGCTGTCACAGCCCCGTTGGCACTTGGGGGTGCCAGGGCCCTTTCTGGGGACCCCTGGCCCGTGGTGGGGTGGGGGCTGTGTGGGGATGGGGGCTCAGAGGCAGGAGCCCCCCCTGCCCTGCACTAAGCCCCCCCGTTCTCCTGCCCAGCTGTCTATGCCGTGCACAACCTGAGCGAGGTGTCCCTCACCCAGTACGAGCTGGACAGTAAGTCACCACCCCTGTGTGTCCCCCAGTGCCACCCCGTGTGTCCCCCAGTGCCACCCCTGTGTGTCCCTGCACTGCAGGGCCAGCTGGAACCCCTCTGCCCCATCCAGCTGCTCCCTGGGGACACCCCCTTCTTCCCAACAAGGGGGGCTCTGCCAGGTTCCCCGGGGGTAGCGGGGCTGCCCCAGCCTGGGGAGGGTCCCACTCGCCCTTTGTCCCCCAGACCTGAGCAAGCACCGGCGCTATGAGATCCGGATGAGCGTCTACAACGCCGTGGGCGAGGGACCCCCCAGTCCCCCCCAGGAGGTGTTTGTGGGGGAAGCAGGTGAGTCCTGGCAGGCTCTGCCTCTCTTGGGGCTGCGGGAAGGGGGCTCGGCTGTCCTGGGAACCAGCGCAGTGACCCCGTCCCCTCCCTGGGCACAGTGCCCACCGCAGCGCCCCGGAACGTGGCCGTGCAGGCGGTGACGGCCACGCAGCTGGATGTCACCTGGGAGCCGCCCCCCGTGGAGAGCCAGAACGGCGACATCCAGGGCTACAAGGTACCTCCTGTCGCCTGGGGGCTGGCACCCGCCCGGGGGGCTCTGGGGAGGGGCTGAACCCCTGGGCGGCACAGGGTGGGGGGCACTGGGGGTGCTGTGCCTGATTTCGGGGAAGGGGCTCTGGGAGGATGTCCCGGGGAGATGCCGGGTGTCCCATCCCGGTGCCGAGCGGCGGCGGGGCAGCAGATGGCGCCGTCGGCCCTGGAATGCGACCGGGATGTGTCGGGAAAGAGCCGGGATGTGTCGGGGGTTTAACTAGAAATTGTCGGGATGCAGCTGGGATTTGTCGGGATACGGCTCGAATGTGTCGGGATGCACCGGGATAGAGCCGGGATGTGTCGGGACAGAACCGGAATGCATCTGGGATGTGTCGGGATGCACCGGGATAGGGCTGGGATGTGTCGGGATGCACGGGGATGTGTCGGGATAGAGCCGGGATGTATTGGGGTGTGTCGGGATGCACAGGGATAGAGCCGGGATGTGTCGGGATGCAGCCCAGGTGCTGTTGGGATGCATTAGGATGCAGCCGTGGTACCCAGCCCCGTGCTCCAGACACCTCCTGGTCCCCATCCATTGTGGTTCCTCCTGCTTGTCCCCATCCCGCGGGAATCAGGCACGGCTCGAAGGCGATCTCAGCACACCCTGGCGATGCCAGCCCTGCCTGATGCCCAGCACAGCCTGGAGCCCTCCTGGAGGAGAGGCTGTTCTGTTCCCTCCGACCACTTGGAGCCCGGGCAGGGACATTGGAGGGCTCAGGAAGGGCAAGCTGGGTGGGACCCGCGCCCCATCCAGGTCCCCATGCCCCATCCTACAGATCCACTTCTGGGAGGAGCAGCGGCAGAACCAGAGCACGAGGGTCAAGACCCTTTTCCTGCCTGAGACTGGCGTGAAGCTGAAGAACCTGACGGGCTACACCTACTACTGGGTCAGCGTGGCCGCCTTCAACGCGGCAGGGGACGGGCCCCGCAGCGTCCCCGTGAAGGCACGGACACAGCAGGCAGGTGGGGCCCGTGGCACGGCTCCCCCTGCACCCTCCTGCCCCTGGGCTCCCTGGGGAGGTGTCTCCGTGGCTCCAGCTGCAGGGATTCATGCTACAGTCCTGAGCAGAGCATCGCTGGGCTCACCCCAGCGGGTTGGTGGCGTGGGGTCACACGGAGGTGAATTTTTAATCTTGAGGATGGCGAAGGTTTTGGGAGGACACAAGGAAAGTCGTTCCCCTGTGGAATCTTTGCTGCAGCAGGGATGGGGCCCTGGGGGTGTGAGCTGGTGATCAATCAGCATTAGGGTGGAGGCAGGGACAGGGGCTGGCTGGCGCTGGGGGTGTCCCCTGGAGCACTGAGCTGCCCCCGTCCCCCGGCAGCCCCCAGCGCTCCCGGCTCCATCCGCTTCAGCGAGCTGACCACCACCTCGGTGAACGTGTCCTGGGAGCCACCTCCGCTGCCCAACGGCGTCCTCGAGGGCTACAGGCTGGTCTACGAGCCCTGCACGCCCGTGGATGGTGAGGGCACGGCCAGGGGCAGCGGGCAGGGCTGGGGGGGACCCGGCTCAGCCTCTGTCCCTGCAGGTGTCAGCAAGATCGTGACGGTGGATGTGAAGGGGAGCAGCCCGCTGTGGATGAAGGTCAAGGACCTGGCTGAGGGTGTCACCTACCGCTTCCGAATCCGGGCCAGAACCTTCGCCTACGGGCCGGACGTCGAGGCCAACATCACCACGGGGCCCGGGGAAGGTACGGGGGACAACTGGGGACACACAGGCTGAGGAGATGGGCTGGGGGCTGGCCCGGCTCTGGGCCAGTTTGTGCCCCTGCCTCCAGCTGTGCTCTGGTGCCCAGGTGCCCCCGGCCCCCCTGGAGAGCCCTTCATCTCCCGCTATGGCTCGGCCATCACCATCCACTGGTCCAGTGGGGACCCTGGCCAAGGTCCCATCACCAGATACGTCATCGAGGCCCGGCCCTCAGGTACCACTGCTGCCTCTGCTCCATGCCCAGCTCACGTGGGGATGGGTGGTATTTGCTCAGGTGGGGTCAGGTATGGTGTGTGCTGGGTCCCCAGGATGAAGGAGGAAATGATGAATGTGACTCTATGTTCTTAGAAGGCTGATTTATTGTTTTATGATCTATATTATATTGAAGAATGCTACATTAAAACTATACTAAAGAATAGAGGAAGGATACAGACAAAAGGCTACAAAGAATGAAAACTTGTGGCTCTGGAAGGAGTCCTGACACAGCCTGACCATGACTGGCCAATAAGTCAAAACAATTCACATGAAACCCATCAAACAACCACCTGTTGGATAAACAATCTCCAAATACATTCCAAAGCAAAGAAACACAGGAGAAGCAAATGGGATAATATTGTTTGCCTTTTTCTCTGAGGCTTCTCAGCTTCCCAAGAGAGAAATCCTGGTGAAGGGATTTTTCCAGAAAATATGATGGTGACAGTCAGGAGAGGGGAAACTGAGGCAGGGAGTGCTGACCTGGCTTGGGCGTTGGGACGCAGTGTCTGGGGGTGCCTGTGAGGAAAATGCTGCTGAGTGGGGCTGATGGCAAGGGCAGCACCTGCAGGGCTGGTGGATGGAGGGACAGCACCCCTGGCCTGGGCTGTCCTGCAGAGCCAGCCCCAAAATCCCAGCCCCAAAATCCCAGCCCCGTTGTCTCTTCCAGATGAGGGGCTCTGGGACATCCTCATCAAAGACATCCCCAAGGAGGTGACCTCCTACACCTTCAGCATGGACATCCTCAAGCAGGGGGTCAGCTACGACTTCCGGGTCATTGCTGTGAATGACTACGGCTACGGCACCCCCAGCACCCCTTCCCCCTCCGTGTCAGGTGGGTTCCAGGGCCCCTCTGTGCCAGAGGGAGGCTCCTGCTGTTGCTCTGCTCTCATGGCCATCACTGAACCCACCCCTGGCTCCTACAGAGCCCTGGTCCCACTGCCAGCACCCCCTTTCCAAACCCCCCCTCCCTTTCCGGGGATCTGGGCCTCCCCAGGTGACCCCGTGCTCTGCAGAGGGCCGTCCCCATGTCCCTGTCCCCCTCTGACCCTCCCTGCTCTGCCCCAGCCCAGAAAACCAACCCCTTCTATGAGGAGTGGTGGTTCCTGGTGGTCATTGCCCTGGTGGGGCTCATCTTCATCCTCCTCCTCGTCTTCGTGCTCATCATCCGCGGGCAGAGCAAGAAATACTCCAAGAAGTCGGACTCAGGTGAGCGAGGGAGTGTGGTGGGTGTGACAGGACCCTCCTGCTCCTGGGGGAGCCTTTTGGGGTCTCTCCCTGCCTTTGGGGGTCTGTGTGGAGTGGTGGGAGCCTCCCCTCCTGCCCGCCTTGGAGCAGCTCCTGCAGAGCCCCAGAGGCACCCCATAACCGTGCTGTGGTGTCCCAGAGAGCACTGAGAGCTCGAGATGAAATGAAGGGCTTGTCCCACAGACAGCTGTGGAGGCAGAACAGCCCGGGGGCTCGCAGAGGTCACTGGGATTAGCCAAACACTGCTCTGTTTTCTTAGCTCTGTCAAGGGCTCAAATTGTGGGGAAAATCCAGAGCTCCTCGTTAAACAAACAGCTCAGAGTGAGGAGCTGGGGGCACCGGGGCAGGGCAGGGGGCTGAGCCAGGGCAGGGCTGGCACCTCCTGCCTGTCCCCAGGCCCTGGTGACTCTGGAACCACCACAACCCCCCGGGGCCATCCCCAGCCCCACCCGGGGCCATCCCCAGCTCCCCCAGGCCCATCCCCAGCTCCCCGGGGCCATCCCCAGCCCCTCCTGGGCCCATCCCCAGCCCTCCCGGGCCATCCCCAGCCCCCCGGGCCGTGCTGTGCTGCCTGCAGAGGGGCTGGGGGAGGCTGAGCATCCCATCCCCCAGGGAACAGCTCCAAGGCGGCCGCCCTGAGCCACGGCGAGATGGTGAGCCTGGATGAGGGCAGCTTCCCCGCCCTGGAGCTCAACAACCGCCGCCTGTCGGTCAAGAATTCCTTCTGCAGGAAGAACGGCATCTACACCCGGTAGGGACCCCCCCACAGCCCCCTCCCCGGGCAGGGGGAGCGTCTTTGCTCATCCCTGCTCTGTCATGGGGTGAGGAGGGCTTGGATCCCCAGGGGTGACCCCGATCTGCTCCAGGTCCCCCCTGAAAGTCCCTGACAGTGGGATTGGGGTTCTTGGGAGGGGTTGGCACGGCTGAGGGCACCCCCTGACGCAGCCCTATGGATCCTCGGGGTTGTCCCCAAGTGGCCCAACCCCGCGTGGCGGTGACCCACGCTGACCACCCCTCTGTGTGTCCCCAAGGTCCCCGCCCCGGCCCAGCCCCGGCAGCCTGCACTACTCGGACGAGGACGTGACCAAGTACAACGACCTGATCCCCGCCGAGAGCAGCAGCCTGACCGAGAAACCCTCCGAGGTCTCCGACTCCCAGGTGAGCCCCGGGGCCGCACAGGGGGACAGGGACCAGGCTGGGGGGATGTGGAGGGTGCTGGGAGCCCTCCCTGAGCACCACCAGCCCGTGTGGGGCTGTTCCTCTGCCCGCCCCGAGCAGTCCGGGGCGCGTTCGGTGCTGCTGCTCCCGCCCCATCCCGCTCTGCACGCAGCGGCATCCCCGCGGCTCGGTGGAAGCTGGCACAGCCCCCGGCCCCTCTGCTGGGGATGTGACGCTGCTGGGGACAGGGCACAGGGCACAACGGGTCACCGGGGGCTGTCGCGCTGCCCGGTCGCTGGTGGCAACGCCCGCGGCTCTGCCAACTCCACAAAATGCCGCCTTTGTCTCGCCCCGGGGCCACGGGCAGCTGTGGAGCCCCGGGGAGGCCACGGGGCTGTCACCCCCAGGATGGATCCCGAGGGGCTGACACCCGAGGAAGGGTCCTTTGGGTCCCTAGGGCTGTCCCCGAGCAGGAGGGGACCGTGCCCAGGCTGTCCCCGAGCGGGAGGGGACCGTCCCCAGGCTGCCCCCCCGCCCCTGCCCGCACCGGCTGTTCCTTGGCAGATGCCGGCTCCTCTCGCTGCGTCCCGAGCGGGGCTCGAGTGGCTTTTGAGGAGCTGTGAAGAGCTGCGGGAGCTGGCGCTGGCGCGGGGCAGTTCCCACCGCTCTCAATGGGCCCTTTGTGCGCCGCCGGAGAAGCTGAATCCAATTACCGGCAGAGCCCAAAACCACCCTCCCCGCCAGCCCCGGGGGCATCGCGGCCTCGCCAGCGCTCAGGAACCTTTTGTAGGAGGTTTTGTTTTGTTTTAGCAAGAGGCAGAAACCCCCCAGCGATGCTGCAGCCGTCCCAGCCTTTAAATACTTTGGGGATGCAAATACTTTCGGGATGTGCTCGCCAGCGTTCCTAAAAGAGCCCTGGGAAAGCACCGGGAAAGCGCTGGAAATCACAGAATTGTTCAGGCTGGAAAATACCTCTGAGCTCACCGAGCCCCAGCTGTGCCCCATGCCCACCTTGTCCCCAGCCCAGAGCTCTGAGTGCCACCTCCAGCCCCTCCTCAGGCACCCCAAACCTCCCTGGGCAGCCCCTGCCAATGCCAGGCCACCCTTTCCATGTGGAAATTCCTCCCGAATTCCCCTGGCACAGCTTGGTTCACTCCGTTTGGATGACAAGTAAAGCCATCTTTCCAAGGGGATCTTGGAGATCGGGATTCCCCAAGATTTAAGGTTTAAGAAATTAGGATTTCTTGTCTTTAAGGTTTAAGAAATTAGGATTTAAGGAATTAGAGCCCTTGGGCTGAGCTGAGGTGCTGTGTGCCCCTGCAGCCCCTGTGACACTCAGAGTGCTGGCAGAGGGGCAGGGTTGGGACAGAGAGGGACAGAGAGGGCTCAGAGCTTGGCAGTGCCAGCACTTTGTGCTCCCCATGACAGGGCACAGGCTGATCCTGCTCTTCTTCCTGCAGCCTGAATGCCTTTTATTTACACTGGGGTGGTTCCCTCTCATTGCAGGGAGCAGAGCCCGACCCCATTGAATTTTGGGGCTGTTGGGAGCTGTCCCCTGTCACTGTAGGACATGAAAGAACACAAGCTCACACCGCTGTTCTCAAAGCGAAAAAAAGGAAAAGTTATTTCCTGACTCTAACATTTATAGATTTCCAAAAGCAACAGTGGATTGGAGGGTGACAGTGCCACCTCTCCAGTGACACTGGACAAACCAACAGCCCATCAACTTTCTCTTCCTCCATAAAAGAATGCAAAACAATGAGTTATTTACGGAAAGGGTGTGGAAAAGTTCCCTACAAAAATATCAACATCAAAAAGCTTAGAAAAATCTTAAAAATCCAAAGTGTCCCCACCTGAGCACCTTGCCCTGTCCTGTTTTTCAGGGCAGCGACAGCGAGTACGAGGTGGACCCCGGGCACCAGAAGGCGCATTCCTTTGTCAACCACTACATCAGCGACCCCACCTACTACAACTCCTGGCGGCGGCAGCAGAAGGGCATCTCCCGTGCTCAGGCTTACAGCTACACCGAGAGCGACTCGGGCGAGCCTGAGCACACCCCACTGTCCAACAGCGCCTCCACGCAGCAGGGCAGCCTGTTCCGGCCCAAAGCCAGCAGGACTCCCACCCCCCAGACCCCTGGTAACGCCCCCAGCAGCCAGCCCGGGACCCTGTACCGCCCGCCCAGCAGCCTGGCCCCCGGCTCCAGAGCCCCCATCGCTGGCTTCTCCTCTTTCGTTTGATGTTGCGGCAGAAGAAAAAGAAGGAAAAAACAAAACAACACAACAACAAAGAAACGAAACAGGAGGGGGAGGGGAAAATTAGGAAAAAAAGAAAAAAAAAAAAAGAAATTGAAGAAAAGCCCCAAGAATTAAGAGAAAAGGACAAAGGAGAGGAGGAGGAGGAAGGGGAGCAGCCCCAGGCTCCAGGGGTTTGTGCTGGATGCCATCCCTGCGGCTGGGAGCAAACCCAGGGCCCCTCCTTGGCCAAAGCTTCTGCGTCACAGACTCCTTGGAGGTGGGGCAGGGGGCTTGGGGTGCACCCACATCACCCCTGGCACCCCTGGGGGCTGCCCCGGAGCTGCTGCTGGACCCCAGTGGGTGCTGGGGGCTGGGGAAGGGGCTCCTGCCGTGCCAAACCCCGGTGACTCCCCCAGGACATGGGGACAGAGGCAGGGCCAGAGGAGCTCTGCTGATCTTAAACCTCTGGACTCGACCCCCTCACTCTGGACACCCCCAGAAGGATCCCAGGGGATGATTCATTGCTGCCCTCCTTGGTGCCTGGCCCAGCACAGCCCCCAGAACAGGAGAAGCCAGGACTGGAAGCCCAGGACAGCCCCAGTGGGGTGCACGTGGTGCTTAACCCCCAATTCTGCACCTCGGGGCTCTGGGGAGGACTCAGATGAGGCAGCTGGAGCCTCCCCTTGGCATTTCTGCTGCTTTGGGGCTTTTTCACGGGGTTTTGTGCAGGGCCCTGAGGGTGTTGGGGGGTGTTGATGCTCGGGGGGGCCGTGGCTGTTTTGGGGGTGTCTGCACAGCCCAGCCCAGCCCCTGCAGTGCCTATGGGTGAGCCAGCACCAGCCTGGCAGGGCCAGGGCACCCTGAGCCGAGGGAGATGCCAATAAACAACCTGAGGACAAGTGTGTCCCCTCTCTGTCACCTTGCTCTGCCATGAAAGGCCCAATGCCATCTGTCCGTGTGTCCTGCTGTCCCTCTGGGCCTGTGGCAGCCCTGTGGCACCAGGGAGGAACTGGGCAAGGGGTGCCAGAGGTGCTGGGTACAGCCCAGAAGGGTGCAGGGGGCTGTGGTGGCCGTTCCTGCATGTTCCCATCACAGAGGGGTCTGGAAATGGGGTGGTGGCACAGGAGACCCCCCTGCACCATGCTCTGGGCACTGCCAGCAGCAGCCCTGGCACTGGGGATGGCTCCTGGGCTCCTCACAGCCGCCCTCGCTTGCTCTGCCCTTCAGGCCTGGCAGGAGAATCCAGGCCCAGGTGCTGTGTTCAGGTTTCATCAGGTGCCAGCAGCAGGGCTGGCAGTGGGGAGGGCTCTCAAAGGGCCAGGTCAATGCTGTGGGGGCTGCACAGTCCCTGTCACAGCACCTGCGAGCCCCTGGGACCCTGGCCCTGGCGTGGGCAGGGGGTGCCAGGGGAGCCTTGTGTGCATTGGGCACCCAGTGCTGCAGCTCCTCCTTGGACTGGGAGAACTGGGCTGCAGTGCTGGCGAAAGATACATGCAAGGCGCTGCAGTTTTCCCCTGCTGTGGTGCTGTGTATAGACGCAGTGGCGGCAGAAGTGGCGTGCCAGGGCACAGGGATGCCGGCTGTGGCCGGACAATGGCACGCAGCGGCTCGGAACCAGGACCGCGCTGTGCCAAAGCTGTGGTGAACGCAGTGGTGGGTGGCGGCGGGGCCATGGAGATAGAACTGCGCATGCGTGCGGCTGATCCCGGGAGCAGCGCTGTGGTTTGATGAGTCGGCGCAGAGTGATATCATTGGTGCTGGGGTTGTACCAACTGCGCATGTGTGGGTTCCGTCACTACCTCAGCGCGGGCAGTCATCATGGCGGCGGGCGGGCCGGGGCGTGTGGGAGGCGGCAGAGCTGCGGGAACGGGAATGGGGCTGCGGCTGCGGCCGTGGAAGGGAACGCCGGGACGTCCATGGTTGCAGGAGGCGGCAGAGCCACGCCATCCAGCAGCTCTGAAACGGGAGGGTGCGGTGGGGAAGGCGCGGCTCGGCCCGTCATGCAGCGGCGGCGGCAGGAGAGGGGAAGCGACCACGGGCGGCGCTGACGGGAGGCTGGGCTGGAGCGCTGCAGCGCCGGCACGGGGTGGCTTGGGTGGCTGGGGCGCCCCGGTAAGACAGTCATTAAAACACCCTAAAAATTATTTTAAAAGCCCTGAAAAAGCCCTAAAGGTATCCTAAACATGTCCAGAGAATTCCTAAAAAACTCCTGCAAAAAAAACCCTAAAATATCCCTAAAAATCCCTGAAAAATCACCTGAAAGACCCTAAAAAACTGTTTAACCCCTACCTGTAACACTGTGGCCTCCAAACATCATCTCTACCTATTAATCGGGGTAACTGCAGGACCCTCAAACACCACCACAATCACCAGCTTAAGTTGGTCTGGACAGCACCAAATAAAATGAAATAAAAAGCTTTATAAATAGAAAAATTAAAAATAAAAATTAAATAAAAAATAAAATAAAAAAAAAGCTTTAAAAATGGGAAAATAAAAAAATTAAATAAAATAGAAAATTTAAAAAATAAAAAGCTTTAAAAATAGAAAAATTAAAACTAAAAATTAAAAAAAACTTAAAAAAATAAAATAAATGCTTTAAAAATAGAAAAATTAAAACTAAAAATTAAAGAAAAATGAAATTAAAAAAATAAAAGAAATGGTTTAAAAACAGAAAAATCAAAAGTAAATATTAAATAAAAGTAAAATTAAAAAATAAAAAGAAATGCTTTAAAAATAGAAAAATCAAAACTAAAAATAAATAAAAAATAAAATTAAAAAATAAAATAAATGCTTTAAAAATAAAAAAATTAACACTAAAAATTAAATAAAAAATAAAAAATAAAACAAATGCTTTAAAAATAAAAACAACAAAACTAAAAATTAAATAAAAAAATAAAATTAAAAAAATAAAATAAATAGTTTATAAATAAAAAATTAAAACTAAAAATGAAATAAAAAAAATTTAAAAAATAAAAGAAATGCTTTAAAAATAAAAAACCCCTAAAAATTAAATAAAAAATAAAATTAAAAAAAAAGAAATGCTTTAAAAATAGAAAAATCAAAACTAAAAATAAATAAAAAATAAAATTAAAAAATAAAAGAAATGCTTTAAAAATAAAAAAAATTAAAACTAAAAATTAAATAAAAAATTAAAAAAGCTTTAAAAATAGAAAGATCAAAAATAAAAATTAAATAAAAAATAAAAATAAAACAAATGCTTTAAAAATACAAAAATCAAAACTAAAAATTAAATAAAAAATAAAATTAAAAAATAAAATAAACGCTTTAAAATAGAAAAAGAAAAAAAAATTAAATAATAAAATTTAAAAAATAAAATAAATAGTTTAAAAATGAAAAATTAAAACTAAAAATGAAATAAAAAATAAATTAAAAAAATAAAAGAAATGCTTTAAAATAAAAAAATTAAAAATAAAAATTAAATAAAAAATAAAATAAAAAAAATTAAAAGCTTTAAAAACAGATAAATCAAAAATAAAAATTAAATAAAAAATAAATGCTTTAAAAATAAAATAAAAAAATTAAAAATAAAAATTAAATAAAAAATAAAACTAAAAAATAAAATAAAAAGCTTTAAAAATAGATAAATCAAAAATAAAAATTAAAAAAAATTTAATTTTTTAAAATTAAATAAAAAAAATTAAAAAAAACCAATTAAAAATAATTTTTTATTTTTAAATAAAAAATAAAAATTAAAAAAAATACTTTAAAAATAAAAAAATCAAAACTAAAAATTAAGATAAAAATAAAAATAAAAAAATAAAATAAATGCTTTAAAAATAGAAAAATTTAAAATAAAAATGAAATAAAAAAGAAAATTTTAAAAAAGAAATAAAAGCTTTAAAAATAGAAAAATTAAAACTAAAAAGATAAAAATAAAATAAAAAGCTTTAAAAATAGAAAAATTAAAAATAAAAATTAAATAAAAATTAAAATTAAAAAAATAAAATTAATTAAAAATTAATAAAAAACAAAATAAAATCTGTAAAGTGCTGTAAAGTACTGTAAAAGTTCCATAAAATGTAGTGTCGTAAAGCGCCACTGTCGTAAAACTGCCGTAAAGCGCGACTGTCGTAAAAAGTTCGGGTATACGACAGTCGCGCTTTACGACAGTTTTACGACAGTCGCGCTTTACGGCACCTTTTACGACAGTCGCGCTTTACGGCACCTTTTACGACAGTTTTGCTTTACGGCACCTTTTACGACAGTCTCACTTTACGGCACCTTTTACGATAGTCGCGCTTTACGGCACCTTTTACGACAGTCGCACTTTACGGCACCTTTTACGACAGTCGCGCTTTACGGCACCTTTTACGACAGTTTTGCTTTACGGCACCGTTTACGACAGTCGCGCTTTACGGCAGCTTTACGACAGTCGCGCTTTACGGCACCTTTTACGACAGTTTTACTTTACGGCACCTTTTACGACAGTCGCGCTTTACGGCAGTTTTACGACAGTCGCGCTTTACGGCACCTTTTACGACAGTTTTGCTTTACGGCACCTTTTACGACAGTCGCACTTTACGGCACCTTTTACGACAGTCGCACTTTACGGCACCTTTTACGACAGTCGCGCTTTACGGCACCTTTTACGACAGTTTTGCTTTACGGCACCTTTTACGACAGTCGCACTTTACGGCACCTTTTACGACAGTTTTGCTTTACGGCACCTTTTACGACAGTCGCGCTTTACGGCATCTTTCACGACAGTTTTGCTTTACGGCACCTTTTACGACAGTCGCGCTTTACGGCAGTTTTACGACACTCGCGCTTTACGGCACCTTTTACGACAGTCGCGCTTTACGGCACCTTTTACGACAGTCGCGCTTTACGGCAGTTTTACGACAGTTTTGCTTTACGGCAGCTTTTACGACAGTTTCGCTTTACGGCACCTTTTACGACAGTCGCGCTTTACTGCACCTTTTACGACAGTTTTGCTTTACGGCACCGTTTACGACAGTCGCGCTTTACGGCAGCTTTACGACAGTCGCGCTTTACGGCACTTTGTGGAATTTTTACGGCACTTGACTTTACAGCACTTTACGGGTTTTATTTTGTTTTTTATTAAATTTTTTAAATTTTTTTTTAATTTT